GTTTTTATTTAGAAAATAAAATTAATGCTTAGAAATGATTTTTTTAATATAAAACAGGACCTAAAAAATGCTCCAAATAAATTTGAGTCAGTTAAATTTTGTGCAGAATAATGAGGTTAAATCAAAAATTCAAGGGTTTTTATTCCAAATGAGTACTACATGAGGAATGATAGATGGATACAAAGGTCACAGCTGTCAGCAAAACATAAATAAATAAAATAAAATAAGCCATAAGAAGACAAAAAGAAAAAAAAACCCTGTACATAATGTGTTACACATGGAGTTGTTTTTATTATTTTTATTTATTTTAGCTTTATTTATCCAGGTAAACTGTTTGAGAACCGCTTCTCATTTACAAACATGACCCGGTATGCACTGAGTGCGTTGCAACATACAAACCTACATGTTCAGCCATAGTAAAGTGATGGTTTTTTAAAAAAAATAAAGTTAGATTAATCATGATTAAATTTTTTAATTTATGCCCAGCACTAAAATTAATCAACATGAGTCAACTCGTTTAATTTCACAGCCCTAATTAATTAATTAAATTGTTTAAATTATTTATTTATTTATTTTTCTGTCATTCTGCTTCGAAGAGGACGATCCTGGAAAATAAAATGGTTCATGTTGTTGTTTGGATTTGTTTGTTCTTTCATGTTGATGCAGGTGATGCCGAGCTAAGAGGCTCAGGCCTGTCGCACCCTGCTTGCCTCGATGAGATATCAGAGGGCCGCAACGTCTCCATAGAAACAGCCAGCCTGGATGTATATGCAAAATATGTTCTGAAGACGATCTGCCAGCAGGTGAGGATAAAAGCTGAAATAGATTTCTGAGATCATCCTTGTAAATTAGGTTTCAGCACTTTGTAAAGTCAGGTTGGGAAATGGGTGAGCTGGAAAAAAAAAACCAGTTGGAATATGCGACAATCTGTTTAAATGGATTTCCTTTAAAATTGTCGTATATACTGTAAACTAAATTCTGAGTTTGTTGTGAAAACACTGTTTGTTGCACTACAATTATAGAAAAGCTACYGATTAAAATAAAAGTAGCTTGGCTTTTTGACATGCCTCAAATCCTCAGGAAAATTTAGACTAGTTTTCCAACTAATTATGACTTTGGTGTGCGCACTTTGACTCTTCAGAAAAACACAACCTTTTGCCCTGTTTGTGTCTCCACCCATCCCAGTTTTAGTCTAGYTTATTTTGCATGACTGAGTTTGAAACTCAATCTGAAGCTTAAAAATTAAGCAAGTTCTTAACTGCTGTCACATTTGCTGTTTTTTTTTTCTTCCCCTCCCCGCTTTTTCCCCCCGATGCACATGTTGTTGTGTTCTTGCAGGAATGGGTTGGAGAACGCTGCTTAAAGTCTCTCTCTGAGGACAGCAGTGCTCTCCAGGACCCAGTGCTGGTAAACATTCAAGCCCAACGGCTCCTGCAGCTTATCTGTTATCCTCACCGCCAGCTGGATAGTGATGACGGCGACAATCCTCAAAGGCAGCGCATCAAACGTATCCTTCAGGTACAGAGCTCTCACATTAAGTTCTGTCAGTATTATCATTTTCTACCTTTTATTTTTGTTAGATTTTTAGGAACAATGTGTTCTTTTTGGCTTTGGTTAATAATTCCTTTAATCTGCAGACTAGTGGGGTTTTGCTGCCCCCTCCTGGATAAAATCATTGTTTTATGCTACGAACATCCAGAACTGGAAATTTTTGTGTGAAAATGAATTACTTATGAAAATAATTTCAATTCTGGCCCTGTCCTTGTAGAATATGGATCAGTGGACGATGAGACAGTCGTCTCTGGAGCTGCAGCTTATGATCAAACAGAGCACAAACAATGTAAGTTCTTACTGTTGTCAAAGTATTATTAAGTATTTTTAACATGAATATATATATATGTTCTTATTTGGATTTAGGAGCTCTACTCTCTCCTGGAGAACATTGCTAAGGCCACTATAGAGGTTTTCCAAAAATCGGCAGAGATGAACTCCAGTAACCCCGCAGGAAATGGAGCGGCAGTCCAAGGGGGCTCGGCATCCAATACCAACAGCACCACAAGCAAGATTAAGCCTATTTTAAGGTGTGTGTTTGTCATGGGCYTAATAAAATATTTGGTTTTTGGCTCTTCTTATTACATTTTTGGAAGAGCTTAGGGCTGGGCGGTATGAACTCTAAGTCATATCACGGTATAAATTGAATCCCTTCACGGTAACGGTATATATAACGGTAGAATATTATCTTAAAAAGTAAAGATAATGTAATTTTTAGAGCATTTCTTTTTTGCAGAAAACTGTAATCTTAATCAAAGCCAGTATTTTTGCTTTAATATCTGCCTACCATACAATTAGGGGCGGCCTGCTGAAATTTATCAGCTGCTGCTCTGCTGCGCGCTCATCTTCATCATAGCAGAAGCTGACTTTACATTAGCAAGATGGATTTATGACTGAACGAACGTCCACATCCTTTTTTTTTTAATCATCTCTTTGGGTAACAATACATAGAAAACAAGATTTTTCTTTGAAAACTTGAGTGTAAAAAACTACGGTTGTTAAAGCTTCGCTCTGAGCGACATGCGGGAGAGTCGGGGGATGATCCCGACATAACTTTTCTACAGCGGGAGGGCGAAATTTTAAGGATTTATTCTCTCTATGTGTTTTAAAACACTACCGCATATACCACACAGCTCTAGAAGAGCTGTCTTTAAATTCTGGATTCAAGGTGATAATGCAACATTTTACTCTTGATGCTAAGGTTTCAGTGATACTAAAGCATTTGTTATTTTCACTTTGATGTTCAGTTCTTCAGAGCGATCGGGTGTTTGGCTGGTGGCTCCACTGATAGCCAAGCTGCCCACATCAGTTCAGGGCCACGTGCTGAAGGCGGCTGGAGAGGAGCTGGAGAAAGGACAGCACCTTGGATCTTCCTCGCGCAAAGAAAGGGACAGGCAGAAACAAAAAAGGTGTGTGACAAACTCACATTCCTTTTGATACTGGAGCCAAATGGATTGTTTGATCTTAGGAGTTTGAGTCCATTGTTGTGATTCTGTCCTGCAGTATGTCTCTGCTGAGCCAGCAGCCATTCCTGTCTTTGGTGCTGACCTGCTTAAAGGGACAGGATGAACAGAGAGAGGGCCTTCTCACCTCCCTTTATAGCCAAGTGCAGCAGATTGTCACCAACTGGAGAGAAGACCAGTACCAGGACGACTGCAAGGCAAAGCAAATGATGCACGAGGCCCTGAAACTACGGCTGAATCTTGTAAGCAGTTTTCAACAGCATAGCTAGCTGTGCAGGATTTCACCTTATGAATGCTTACTTGCAACTGTAGTTTATCGTGCCAAATTGTTTGGTCTACATCTAACCTCTTGAAATTAATGATTCTGTTATTAATAAGGTTGGTGGCATGTTTGACACGGTGCAACGGAGCACCCAGCAAACCACTGAGTGGGCAGTTCTGCTCCTCGATATCATCAGCAGTGGAACAGTGGACATGCAGTCCAATAAGTGAGTGTTGGTTACAGAGAAAACTCTGAAATATAGTACTTTATTCATATATATATATATATATATATATATATATAACTAATTATAATACTTTATAGTGTTGTTAATAATAATAATGATAATAATAAGTTCCAAATTTACAGTACCGTTGAGTCATTCTGATTTGTGTGGCTTTTTACCTGTGCTTCTCTTCAACAGTGAGCTTTTCACAACTGTGTTGGACATGTTGAGCGTGCTGATAAATGGCACGTTGGCTGCCGACATGTCCAGTATTTCTCAGGGCAGCATGGAGGAGAATAAGAGAGCTTACATGAACCTGGTCAAGAAGCTCAGGGTAAGAGCAGCACGTTTATTTTTCTGATGGCGCGAGGTCTCTGGATATGTTGTTGATTTGAAAGTTGGAGTGTTATTCCTGGGTGTGAATAATATAGTCATGAAGTTCTTTTTAGATAGGAGAGTCTGCATGCCAGAACATGAAATATTTGAGTTTCTGGTAAATATCCGGCAGATAAAAGTATCTTTAAAGATAAGTTGCACTATCACGACTTTTATAGAAAAACCTAATGCTAGCATGATGAATAGAAATTTAAGTGTTTTTTTTCTATTTAAATGTGGTTAAAATCTGTTTGTTGAAACAAGGCAGGAAACTTTGTTGTGGTTAAGTTTTTTTTAAAATTATTATTATTTCTTTTGTGTGTTTGATATACACAGAAAGAGCTTGGAGATCGGCAGTCAGAAAGTTTGGAAAAGGTTCGCCAACTTCTGCCGCTGCCCAAGCAAACGCGTGATGTCATTACCTGTGAACCTCAGGGCTCACTAATAGACACAAAGGGCAACAAGATCGCAGGCTTTGAGAAGGAGGTAAACATGTTTGGCGAGGTTTTGTTTTTATTTTTTATGTTTTGTTTAAAAGAGATTGGGTAAACCGTTCCGCCTTCTGTTCCATCAGGGTCTTCAAGTATCAACCAAACAGAAGATTTCTCCATGGGATGTCTTTGAGGGTCTAAAACACTCCGCACCCCTTTCCTGGGGCTGGTTCGGAACCGTGCGCGTGGACCGGAAGATCGCAAAGTTCGAGGAGCAGCAACGCTTCTTGCTTTACCACACCCACCTGAAGCCCAAACCTCGTAGCTATTACCTGGAGCCCCTCCCGCTTCCCCCTGAAGAAGAGGAGCCTCTGACCCCTGTTCCCAAGGAACCAGAAAAGACCATGATGGAGGCGGTGAAAGCGGAGAAGAACAAGCCAGCTGTTCCCTCTGAATCAAACAAGAAGAAATCTAAGAAAAAGAAATCTTCGTCTACCAACACAGAGGTCAGTTTCAGATAAAGGTTCTAGTTTGTATGATACAGTTTTTACTAACAGACATTTTATGCATTGACTTTTAGATTACACAGATAATTGATTTTTCTTTCAACAGGACCACCGAGTAAACTACCAGACTAATATGGGACCTGAAATGGTGAATCCTTACAGCAGGCCCCCCTACAACCCACAGTCAATGGTCATGTACACACAGAACCAGCCCCTGCCTCCAGGTCAGCCCACAGAACACAGTCACCATTAGGGCTGCACAATATACTGGAAATTTATTGTCATTTCAATGTCCRTGAATGTAATATCAATAGCACAACGAAAGCCCACACCCGATCTTAGATGATTACTGCAGAAAATGTGTTTGTTGCAATTGATATCACAGTTTTAAATATTTTGTTTTCTGTTTTCAGAAGTTTTTTTAATATTGTGCAGCGCTAATCATAACTTATGTCTGTTTTAGGCCTCAGTAAGAATCAGTCTGACTGACACAGCAACATGTCAATGTTTATTTGGTTTTCCAACAGGAGGTCCAGGTTTAGAAACTCCATGCAGACCTGGCCGCATCCCTCCCATGAACAAAATATCCCCTCGACCCAACTATCCACACAGCATGGGTGGTATGTTCGACAGGCAGAACCAAATGCCCTACAAGCCTCAGAGCCAGAACCCACGGCAGCAGTTAGTGGCCAGACTGGTGAGTTGGTCGAGCAAATCCTTCTAGTCAAGTAGAATATAAAGTGGAGCACAATACGATACTTAATTATTTCCTGCTCTTAGAGTTCAGTCTGTTTAAGTTTAGTGGTTTAGACCCACTTTTACAGAAATCGCTGGGATTTATTTGATAATTTTGAAGGAAATTTTGAGACTGGTTGTAAGAGTGTATTTAAAGTCTGTTAATCAATGTGCAATCAGTTTATTTTTCTGCTGTGATTGGGTTGTAATGAGAACAGCAGGTTCTGAGGGCGTATCCAGTTACACACCTTGCTTCCTTGTTAGAAAACTGTGTCAATCGATAAGTGAAGTCATGTTTCCTCCTTAGACTATTTTTCAGGAGGCGTGACTCAGTTATGGACATTATTAAAAGCTACTGTGTTATGATGAACAAAAGATTAATTGCCTGGAGCAACACACAGGCTCTCAAGAAGTCTCCCCCGTTTTTTTTACCCCCAATGAGGATTTCAGCCAGCTTCCTTCATAAGGTAGCTGTGTTGGATAATTCATTGTCTACATGTGCACAAAACAGTGAGAAGGCTGTGTGAGGGGATCCATTTGTGGAGGAGATTGAAAGTGAATTGAGGGGCAGGCCTTCTTGGAACTCTCTTGGCATGAAACCAGAGGTTACCACAAGGTGCCATGGGCTGCCACAGCCTGCCAGACCATCAATTCAAATTCAATTCAAAAATACTTTATTGATCCCAGAGGGAAATTAGGTGGTGTTGTAACTCATTT